CAATTGCTACTTCTCATAAAAGCCTGCTCACAAGAGAGCTTTGAAAAAAGCTACGAATCTTATTTGGTCCAGAATTTAAACTGTTCCAAACAGGACTTTTATTAAGCCTGAAATTTCTCAACATTCAAAGACTGGACCACAAATGTTGTTGCTTGCTTAATTAACCAATTTTCCCAATTTTCTTTGGGTTCCCTTTAGGGATTTCTGCATTTCCAAAATATCAGCTAGAAGAAATCCACAAGAATGACATCCAATTTTCCTTAAGGGGGATTATGTATGTTTTTGGTATTGGGTATGTCTTTGGTATTGGGATTGGGTATGTTTTCTATGGCTATGGATTTTTATTGTCATTGGGAGATGTTTATAAATTATTAATGGTCTTATTCAGAGTGAAACAAGGTTATGCTCAGGGATTTCTCTCTTTCCATTTTTCTTTTCTCTATCTTTATTTCTTAGATAAGGAAAAAAGGGGGTTGAAAAGAAAGAAAGGAGTATACAGAGATATCTTATGGGAATAAGACAAAAGGTACATTATCGAATCTACTCAACTTAGGGTTTTATTTGTTATTCTCATATGAGGTTAATTTTAACTCTGGTATAGAATTTTGAATATTGATGCAAAATAAATCTATTTTTGATACATTGGTATAAGCTTTAATATACTGATACAAATTCAAGGTTACCTGCAATACTTTTAAACTGTTATTAAAACTGGTTAGGGTATTAGGTAATACAAGTTAATTCGTACTTAATCAACTCATAGTCATGTCAGACAATAATTTATACAGTAGTATACATACTAGTTTTAACAGACAGATATGATTTCATAGACAGATTGATTACATAAAGATAGGTAGTCTTCAAAAAATTCAAAGAACTACAGAATATGGCATTTAAAAATGTCTTTATTATTTTAAAGATTCTTTGACAGTGAGACAGGTCATCTCCTGATAGCACCCCTCCAACCTCAAAGAAGATGATGAGCATCAAAGAACCTCCATATGGTGATGGCTTCAAACATGGCAAATGAGCCACTCAAGTAAAGAGAATACCCTCACTTCATGACAGACAGATTCTGCCAAAAATGGACAAATTTATGTGAAGGACAAGTTGACTGACAAACTCTGCCAAGACAGGGTAAGCAAGTCCTAAATAGTTCCTGCTTCACATATGTCTGTCAAATATTCTGAGCCAGAAGGCTGAAGATGATGCTCCAACATTACAGAGAGTTATGGGTGACTGTTCAGGCAGTCTTTTTTTGGTAGCTGCTGACATGCACTTCCTCTTTACTCCAGGAACTAATTCTATTCCTTCTCAAGTCTCTGATGGGGTTGAAGACCAAATACTCATAGTTCCACAATTAAGCTTAAGTTGTTTAGAATTTAAGAAAATGTTTTAATATAGTAAAATCAATAACGATAAAATTTAATTTAGGTATAGAATAAATTTGTCAAGATAGATAGTATAATCAGATACTTTCTCCTAAATTGCTAAATACTCATTGACTGGACATTGCACATGTAGATTTTGCCTAATAGTTTTCATAATTTCATAATTATTATTGTTTTGAAAGAAAAGGAGACTTTTATTTGACTTAAAGGGGGAAATGTTGATATAATGTTCTTTTGGAATGAATACACCTTAACCTTGTTCATTAAAATGCTGATTTCTCTCTCCCACGATCTGGTTTCAATCTGGACATTGCATTGTGATGCCTGTTCTAAGCATCATATGTCTCAGGTTTGTGTAATTATGCCACCATTTGTTCTCTAAATTTTCAATTAAAACAACCAGCCACATTGCTGAGCAATGGAGAGGATAGGGTGGGACATCCTTGTCCAAAAACAGGGGAAGAGGAAGGAAGTAGGAGGGAGTAGAGGAGGAGAGTCTGGAGGAGAGGTCTTGGAACCACATAGAGAAATGAACCAGACCTAAGATGTCACTAAAACAAGTATAATGGGTGAATCTTAATGGTAGGAAATTATGCAGGCTTGGAGGTTTTGGATGGAAAAACTGTTGCCCAGCATTGTGTTCTAAGTTAATTAAATAAATCCTAGTCTCTGTGTGGTGATTTGGTTATAAAGCTGTTTAGGACTAACCACAGCTTTACTAAAAGATATATCAATAGTAAATATTAATATATCACAATAGTATATACTCACATATAACTGGCTAATTAGACATATAATATAGGATAAACATACTAAAATTTTTATAACTAAAGAAGCTAAGAAAGAAGGAGGACCCTGGGTAAGATGATCAATCCTCTCTCAGAAAGGCAAACTGGATGGACATCAGAAGAGGGAAAAACAGGAAACATGACAGGAGCCTACCACACAGGGACTCTGAAATACTACCCAGCAGGATACCTACCAAAGCAGATGCTCAATGCTCAAACTTTGCACAGAGTGCAGAGAAACTTAAGAAAGGAGGAGATAGAAAGACCTGAAGGGGATAGAAGATCTACAAAGAGAGCAACAGAACCAAAGAATCTGGTCCCAGGGTTCTTTTCTAAGACTGATACTCTAACCAAGGACCATGCATGGAGATAACCTAGAACCCCTGCACAGATGTAGCCCATGGCAGCACAGTAACCAAGTGGGTTCCCTAGTAAGGGGAATAGGGACTGTCTCTGACATGAACCCAGTGGCTGGCTCTTTGATCACCTCCCCCTAATTGGGGGAGCAGGCTTACCAGATCACAGATGAAGATAATACAGCCAGTCCTGATGAGAACTTATAAGCTAGGGTCAGATGGAAGGGGAGGAGGATGTCCACTATCAATGGACTTGAAAAGGAGCATGGGAGTTGATGAGGAAGGGATGGCAGGATTGGGAGGGGCCTACAGCTGCTTTACAAAGTGAATAAGCTGTAATTAATATAAAAGAGTAAAATTAAAATTAAAAGAAAAGAATATAGCTTCTGGGAGAGAAAGGTTTCTTCTTCAGTGATAAACCACTGGTGAGTTGCTCATGGTCAGGTAAATAACCTCTCACTCACTTATGATTCTGTAAGTCTAATTAAATTCACTGGTACACACAGAGACACACAGAACTACTTTTTAAAGTAAGCCAAATGTTTGATATCCAAACGACATTAGGGCCAGGCATGGTGGCACATGTCTCTAATACCAGCACTTGAAAGGCAGAATATGGTAAATCTCTGAGTTCAAGGCCAGCCTGGTCTACATAGTGAGTTCCTGTATAGTCAAGGTGACACGTAGAGACACTTGTTGTGATTAATTTAAGGGTATGGTCTAATAATGTTTATTATTAGCCCTACAATTATTACAGCATCACAATCAGTTTAAGACACAGACAACTGACAGATTTTAGAACAGTCTTATATAACCTGGAGCAAAGCAGATAGTAACCTTTTAAGTTACCTTTACTTTTAAGCCCATACCAGGCTACCTCTCATCTATAATTCCATAAATACTTGCACATCTGTATCATTTTCTCCATCCATGCCAGCATGTGCTTCTCCCATGTTAAGCCATAATGACTCTCAGCTTTCTTACTCCCCCTCTTCTGGAACCTGTCTTTCTACTCAAAATCCTGTCTGTCCCCAAAGCCAGAGAACCTAAGCTACACCTACTTCCTTCTGCCCTGCCCAGACATAGGACATTTAATCAGCAAGCCAGGGATTATTGGGGAACATTCCTTCACATCACACAGTTATAAGAGTTCAGCATTATAACAATGCCCATGGAAGGGAAATAACCAGCTCTCAAGGCACTGAAATCAGCCTTTGAATATATAGCACCAGACCAGCCCACAACAGACAATGTTTAACAAATAGATGAATAGGTGGGTAAGTAGGTAGATAGATAGATAGATAGATAGATAGATAGATAGATAGATAGATAGATAGATAGAGGTAGATAGAATAAGATATTAAGTCAGTGAAAACTTGAGAAATCACTATCAATTGCTGACAAGCAATACTTTTGCATTGGAATGAAAGCAAAGCCTGCTGTTGGCATTGAATGAAATGGTTTTTATGGACTGTATCAACCCAGCAGTCCCCTCTTTTCAGGCCTGTGCTTCCTAAGAATGGAAAAGAAGAGATGAAGAGCAGGGAGAGCCAGAGCCTCCTTCTACTTGTTTGTATCTCGTAATGCTGACACTTGCTCCAAGGCTCTCACCAGACCACCAGTGTCAATGACAGGGAACAGATGCTGCTGCTGACTCAGCCATTTTGCAGAAAGAACTGTTACAGACACATATTTGAGGAAGAATGCTGTGCTTTTTAAGTGCATTGTCTCTCAAAATTCAGTTTAATTTGACAGGACACAAAGATGTACAGTCATAAAAATCTTATCTGGAGCTGATGATATAGGGAAACAAATAAAAGCAATTGTACCAAGCCTGATGGACTGTGTTCAATCACCTGAATGAACAGAAATAACTTTTACAGTTGTCATCTGATCTACATATATACCCCATGTCACATGTTCCTTATTTCAAGCCAAGGGGGAAATGTGCCCATGGCTTGAAATAAAATATAAACAATCACAACAACAAATTCTCTACATGTGCAAATTTTTTATATGCTAAGCATAAAACATTTACACAGCCTTAGCTGTGTCATCCTGTCCCTGCTCACAAAGGACATGTTAAGTCAACAATGATGTGAAGAAGTGTGGGATTCTAAAGAGAAGTGAGTGGGTGTGGCAAGAAGATGGTATCACACATTTGTGAGAGCACATTAGAGGAACCTGGCACAATGCATTTCACATCATGAAAGGGAAGTTTAGGAAGAGAAAAAAAATGAATTTAGGACACTGGATAAAACACCAAAGCCTGTCATAAAGCCACAATGTGCAATGATCTCAAGTTAATTAATTAAACCTGTGAACAGCAGCACTTAGTGATGTGTGAAATCACCTTCACAATAGAGAGGTACATTACCACAGTTCTGGGTTGGCATTGTTCTTGCACAAGTGGGGGGCCTTCCCCTAAAAAGTGTTGACTCAATGCAACTCTCCAGAATACTCACCCCCATATTTTTCCATACTTTTTATGGCACTCAACATCAAATTTCCATAAACCCTGGAAAGACAAATAACATGAAATCCATTACTGTCCTGTATGCAGTGACCCTTCTGCAGCCAGAGCACAAAAATCCTCAGATCCATTGAAATTAGATTTATAGTCTCTGACAGAGAAAATTTCTTTTTCAGAGATGTTTGAGGTATCACCAGCAAGATTTCTCAGTTGGAAAAGGCAGAGCGATACAGCAAGACCCCTGACAGTTTCCTGTAGCCTCTGCATGCACACTCATTAATAAAAAACATGTACACAGACACCAAATACATACAACACACAGGCACACACAAATAATGATGGTGATGATGATGATGAAATTGTTTAAAGAATGTGCAAGGTAAGCCTAAAACCTTAGGAAGAAACCTGAATCAAGAAGAGCACAAGATTTGCCACTCACCCTCTGGATGAGAGCTTGGAATGTCTGTCTGGGGCACTGACTATGGGCCAGGTTTGTCACAAATGATCCACTTAGACTGAAAGCCTACACAGTGCATTACACTTTAATTACCTACTTTTTTTGGTAATGTTATTAAATCAAACTTTCCCTGGTGGGAAAGAGACAGAAGAAAATAAAAATTGCATTTTATAGTTAAGTATCTGAACCAATTGGCATCCACCATCCTGTCTCATATATTTGCAACTAAGACTTGTGCCTAAGATGCTGCCTTCAAAGGAAGAAAAACAGTGGTAGCTCAATTTGAGTTGTAAAGTACTTTGACTAGTATGCATAAAGTCCTGGGTCTCATTCTCAGCACTGCAAAAACAAAACAAAATTTAAAATTTTGTCATTGAGGCTGGAGATGTGGCTCAGCACTTAAGACCACTGGCTGCTCTTGCAGAGGGTCCATGTTCCTAGCACACATATCCAGCATCTCACACCCTTCTCTCACTCAGGATCCAGGGACTCCAGCTCCCTCTTCTGTCTACACTGCACTACACTCATGTGCACAAACCTACACAGATAAACACAACTACACAAAAAGTCTTCTCACTAATTGTAGCAATCATTACCCATAAGTCCAGTGACTAAAGAAAAAGAGTGAAACAAAATATTCTAGTTACTCTGGTTATCAAGAAGAACCCAAACATACCATGAATAATAAATGTTAGGGCAAGAACCATAAAAATAACTCCAGGGCTTCAATAATTACACAGAGATCTCAAGTATATGAAAACTCCCCCTAACGTATGTATGTGGGCCTATGATAAGTGGGTGCTTCAGAAATATTCAGCATAAAAAAGAAGTGTTGCTCATAACCCTGGTACAACAAGGAGAATTTTTATCTAGTGCATACATATCAATGTTTGAGAAGTTGGAAACCCCTTCAAGATTTGCTCCAAATAAGTACAACAGTGCCTTCGCAGAATCTATACTGGGTAAGAAACAAACTCTTCCCTGTTAGCTCACACAGTGAGAATATCATGTCCTGACTATCAAGACTGAATGAGCTGGAGATCTAGGCACTTCTGATGTAGAAGTTTCAAAGTTTTTGTTTTTCAAGACTCAGATGTGTCGTGTGATATTTTGCTAGAAGCTGTCTCATGCTTGTGCGAGGGGCTTGACTTTGATTTTAATTTTTAATTAATTAAAATTTATTTTGTTTGTGTCCCAGCTGTGGTTCTCTTCCTCACACATTCCCAATCCTGCCCTCCCCCCTTTAATCCTCCCACATGCTCCCCAAGTCCACTGATAGGGACAGTCCCCCTCCCCTTCCATCTTACCCTAACCTATCAGGTCTCATCAGGACTGGCTACATTGTCTTCCTCTGTGGCCTGGTAAAGCTACTCCTCCATCAGGGGTATGTGATCAGTGAATCAGCCATTGAGTTCATGTCAGAGACAGCTGCTCTTTCTATTACTAGAAAACCCACTTAGAGATTGAGCTGCCATGGGCTACATTTGTGCAGGGGTTCTAGGTTATTTCCATGCATGGTCCTTGGTTGGAGTATCAGTCTCAGAAAATACCCTCAGACTCAGAATTTTTGGTTCTGTTGCTATCTTTGTGGAGCTCCTGTCAGCTCCAGGTCTTTCTGTCTCCCCCTTTTTTCATAAAATTTCCTCCACTCTGCCCAAAGTTTGGCTATGAGCTGCAGCATCTGCTTTAATATCCTGCTGGATAGAGTCTTTCAGAGTCCCTTTGTGGTATGCTCCTGTCCTGTTTCCTGTTTTCTCCATCTTCTGAGTCCTATCCCATTTGGAGGGGCATGACATTGGACAGCTGAAAACTTCCGTGGGTAGACTCTGAGTAGAGAAGTTATATAGCAGCTCATGGACAGTGCAACAATAATTTTGGCATCAACATGGCTGTGCTGATCTTTGTGCTTTGACACATGACTTCAAAGAGAAGTATTCCAGAGAAATTCTTAGAGCAATCCAACCAAGGCTTGATTCTTTCACTGACTTGTCCCCATCTTCTGAATCATGTTGGTTGGTGTTGTTGACCTGTGGACTGGACTACAGCTATTCAGACAACAAACAGTAGACTCACCCCAAGGAACTACTACTAAAAAGGTCTATAACCCCTCTTTACTAATAACCTTCTTTTCTCCCAGTCAGTGGGTGGAAGGGAGGTAGAAGCAATGAAGAACACTAAAAACATAGGTTTATTGAAGAATCTAAGCCTACACACTTCACACTAATGTGAATTTGAGGTTCAATAAACTGACAATAGAACCAGTGAGATGGCTCCAAATGAGAAGCCACTTGACACCAACACTGATAACTTGAGTTCCATCCCTAAGACTAAGATGCTGTACACACACTATAAAAATCACACATAAACACACACACACACTCACATAACACACTCATTATTAAGTTTTAAGGTGGCAAAAGAGACCCATGGAACACATGGAAAATCTCTAGAACCACAAAAACACACAGTATGAGACTGATGTCTCTGAGTTTCCTCCCAAGGAACACTTACTAGAGATGAGTCATTATTAGCCATCAGGAGAAGACACATGGAATGTTCAGTCAATACTCACCTTGTAGTAATTCAGCACAGTTCCTAAAAAAGGCAGAGGTTTTGGTCCAGGAATTCCCTGTTTCTTAAAAACTCCATGTGTATGTGTCCCAAACCTATAAGGTGAAACAGAGAGCCTTGTGACCACACACTCAGAAGAGAGACACAAACAGGACCATGACCAAAACAAGAAAACAAATTAATAACATGGCTGCACCGCACAGTTCCCAGAGAGCTTAGGGAATGGTGATGGATACTCTATGCATGGCATCACACCATTCTTTTCCATGTCTACTGAGTTCTGGTGGATCTAGGGTTAATGAAAAAGCCAATTAGGCCATACCAGATGTAAGCCTTATCATCAAACCTCACCAAGATGGAGTTGAGTGGGAAGCCAGAGTTATCCAGTATATCTGCATAACATCAGCATGAACTTTAAGAGTTAGTATCACTGGGGCTATAACTCTGTAGTTAAGGGCTTGCCTAGGCTCTGACTTGATACCCCATACCACCAAAAAATAAAAAAAAATGCAAAATTAGCTCAGCTGTCATTTCAATTGGGCCTCTCAGGATGACTCCTGTGGTAGAGACACTGGCTGCCAGTGTTGACAATGTGAGTTGGATCTCCAGAACCCACCCATAGGAGAGAACCAACTTCCCAAAGTTGTCTTCTGTTTAAACGCACACACATGCACACACACACACACACACAAAAAAAAAAACCACCAATAATCACACTGTAGTATGTGCTGGCCCAAACCACAATGAATAAAAACATGAAAATTTTAAATGTTTTTACAAGAGTTCATTTTAACTTCTGTTTTCACCTTTTAAAGACAAACTTGGTATATACTCGCTTATATAGACCTACAAGATATGATAAACATAATGAAATCTACACACCTAAAGAAGATAATCAAGTAAGTGGACATGGGTAAAGATGATCAATCCTCATTTAGAAAGACAAATGGGATGTGTATTGAATGTATGACAGGAGTCTACCGCAAAAGGCATATGAAAGACTCTGCCTAGCAGTGTTTCAAAGCAGACACAAAGACTCATAACCAAATGATGGCAGAGTGCAGGGAATCATATGAAAGAAGGGGAGTTAGTATGATATGGAAAGGATAGGAGCTCTACAAGTACCAAATATATCCGGGCATAGGGTCTTTTCTGAGACTGACACTCAACCAAGGACCACCTATGGATATAACCTAGAACCTCTGCTCGGATGTGGCCCGTGGTAGCTCAGTAACCAAGTAGTTTTCCAAAGTAAGGGGAACAAGGATTATTTCTAACAGGATCTCAAGGACAGGCTCTTTGACCTCCCCCCAAGGGGAGGAGCAGTCCTGTTAGGCCACAGAGGAGGACTTTGCAGCCAGCCTTGAAGATACCTGAAAAAACAGGGTCAAATGAAAGGGAAGGAGGTCCTCCCCTATCAGTGGACATGGAAAGGGGCAGGGAGGAGACCAGGGAGGGAGATGGGGAGGGGGAGGGAATGAGGGAGCGGGATACAGCTGGGGCACAGAGTTAACAAATTGTAACTAAAAAGAAAATTAAAAAAAAAACAACTTTTGTTCTCCTGCCAGTGGAGGGTGCCAGATCCTCTGGAACAATTGTCGCAGATGAATGTGAGCCACACATGAATGTTAAGATTCAACCCCGAGTCCTCTAGAAGAGCAGCCAATGTTCTTAATCACTGAGTCATTGTCTCTCCAGCCCCTCCTTCTGAAACCAGTTTTGACCTTCCATACAATATAGGTCTGAGTATTACCCCAATCACAAGGACATGGTTTGGGGAGGAACTTTGGAAACTACTCACCAGTAGAGGAGCACCAGGCTGATTGCAAGGAGGACCCAGGTTTCCAGGGAGAGAGCTGAAAGTAGATCCATCTTTGCTTCTCTATCAGCAGTTTCCTCCTCAGTATTCTCCCTCCTTCTGTGTGTGCTACCCTTTGCAGGGATTCCCTTCTGCCCAATTGTGCTACAGTGAGCATAGCTCACAGGATTTATATGCTGGACAGATGGGTGGGAGCAGGGCTCTAGCCAGTAGATGGCTCAGCTCTGTATCATCTGGACTTTGGTATCCTGTCCATCTTGACAGTTCATAAAGTTTGTCCACAGCCTATTTTGACCTCCCTTGAGTTGACATTCTGTGTGACATCAATAATCAATGATGCCATATCAGTGAGACCAAAGGTCTTTCCTTCCTATCAAAATTTCAAGCAAATTCATTGTTGTGAAATGTCCTCTCACCAAGGCAGACTTGATCCAAGACTACATGAAATAAAGCCAAAGTTGTATCATCCACAGATCTTTACAGAATGTCTTTGTCTGCCCCTGACAGATACTTCATTATTTATGAAAACTCAACTCAGAAAAAGATGGCAGTCTGGTCTGTGTCTGTCCTTACCTGGACCCCTAACGGCAAAGTCATCTCCTTCCTTCCTTCCAGACCACAGTGAGGGGCTTCCTGCACATCCCACTTGCTAGACTATGAGAATGTTCTGAGCATTGGTCACCACCATGCAACAGAGTGGTCATTCAGAGAGTCTAGTCAAGTGGTGCTAGGACAGGTAGCTGGGTCTTCTATGTCCTAATGCAAGAGTCAAGAGTCACTGGGCACAGTTCAGTAGGAGATCATGATTTATGAATGTTGCAAATGACACTCAAGGCTGCAAGTGGTTCCTGACAGCTATGGGTCACAACAGAACACTAATATGAAAGGTAATATGAAGCCAATAAATCCCTCTGATCAGTTGCTAGTAAATGTTAGGGGAGGTTTGGTTTTCTGTTTGTTTGATTTTTGTTTTTTGAGTGATGAAAATGTTCTAAAAGCAAGTGTGTAGCTTCTGTAGAACCATACAGAAACATATTTAAAAACATTGAAAATTACAGTGTAAATGAGCCAATCATCCAGCATGTGAATTATGCAAGTCAGTAATCTGGTGTGTTGATTAAAATTTTTGTGTGTTTATGAGAATATGTATGCAGATGCCTGTGAAGGCACAAAGAGGGCACTGGGTCCCTGGAGTTGGAGTTATGAGTGCTTGTGAACTACCCAAGATCATGCAACTTCCACATAGGTTATGGGAACAAAATACCAGTCCTTCAGAAGAACAGCAAGCATACTTAACCTATGAACCATCTCTCTAGCCCCATGATGTTTGTGAGAAAAAATAATAACAAGAAGTATATTGAGAACTAGCAAGGAGGTGCAGGGCCAGCCAGCCTGGCAGTCACAAAAAGTATAGCACCATTCAGATCACTACATCATTGATAGCACACTTCTATTATCTCAGTGCTTATAGAGTAGAGGCAGGGGAATTAGAAGTTCAAAGAGAAAGTCCAAAATTGTATAGGGAACTTGTGACTAATCTGGCAGATGTGAGACCCTGTCTACAAAAACTTTCCTCTGCTATGCCAAACCACCCAAACTTAACTTCTGCCACCCATGACAATGGTCATAAGAAAGAGACAGGCTATAGCACTTACTGCTGAACACTGACCAATAACAGATTCTGGAAGAGAAGGAGGCATTGTATTCAGTTGTGAAACCACTTGTGAGCCCACATACTATAAAAGACAGTTATAAACCCACAGTCACACAGATGGTGTGAGTTCAAGTCTTCAGGACACAATACAAGTCATGAATATGGAAAAGAGATTTGCAGGGAAGAAATGAAACTGACAATTTTGGGAGAGAAACAAGAGAGACTCAGTAAATTTAACCAGAAATCATTATATATACATATATACTTGCCACACACAGAGAGAAAGAGAGAATTAATTTTTAATGAAAACTATAGCTGTTGAATTACAAGGTGTAATAGATATTATGAAATTAATCAGCCTTGAACTTCAGTATCTCAGCAGGATTTAACATCCCTGAGCTTTCCTTTAATTTGCTCTCATCTGAAAAAAAAAAGATGTGACATGATGAATGAGAAAGGTGAGGTCTCTGGTATTCCTAGACTTGTTTCTTCATCCATTTGAAAGAGTAAGTGAGCAGAATTCACCCAAGAAACACAAATTCCTGCATATGCCAAACATAATATCTTTTTAATACCTCTTGCCTCTCTCAAGATTTCCCCACATCTAGAAGTTTCTGGCACCCCCATTTCTATCTCATTGCTCTAGTCTTATTACTAATCTCCCAAGGCCTCTAGTCCAACCCAGGATCCAAGAGATCTTGGTACGTGTACTCTGAAGCACTAAGATAGACGATGGACTTCACAAAAGTCATTCAACCACTACTGTAGCTTTGAGGTTAAAAAACTGAATTGCTTTCTCAACTGGAAACTCAGAGTGTGGTGGGCCACACAGGTGCCTGCATACATATCTCTCCTCTATCCTCCAAGTTTGGATCAGACAATGATTGCAAATATATAGTGTCCTAAGTACTTTGCCCGCCTTAGGTGATATCACTCCAGTCAAAAACCCTGTGAGGCTGTGTCACAAGTGACCAAACCATGTCCTGATATCTGGTTCATTCAAAATTAGGTAATAAATCCCTAATGCAACCATGATCCAAGAGACCATATACCTCGAAAACTCATAAAGTCATATCATCTCCCTTGCTTCTCCTTAATTCCCTCACATGCCTCTACTTCTTCTCAAATTCATGGCCTCTTTTTAATTATTATTGTTACACACATATGAGTATAAATGTATAAATACAACATGCTGAGTCCATGTAGTGTGGCTTATTTGTATATATTTTCAGGGCTGACCACTAGGTGATGGAAAGCCAAGTGACTCATACATGGACAAGACTGATTCTCCCTCTTATAGCGGTTATTAATTTCTTACAGCACTTAAACTGGGGAAAGAGTCTTGTCAGAATCCCCCATTCAAGTTAGCACGACCATTCAAGATGTCACTGTTTGAGGGGCCAAGATGGTGGCGCCAGGAGAACACCATGTCTGAGAAGCAGGACAACACACTCCGTGCAGCGACCAGGAGACTGAAATCTGGGCCCTAAAACAACAGCGATCGATCGTGTTTCCCAGGTGAGGGGAGGCTCCCACGGCGTGGGAATCAGTCGGGTCCACTCTCGGCTGCCCAGCCAGAACCCAGAAGAGAACCTGGCTAACTCGGGCTTTGGGTCTCCAGGCTGGTGCCGCAAGCCTGCTTGTCCTGATCACTCCCCCAGGCTGATCTGTGGGCACAAGGGTGCCTGAGGTTGAGAGTCCCAGTCGCAAAAAACCCCACAGGGAAGGAAAGTTGCCAGACTGGTCACGGGGGTCACCCAGTATTTCCCTGGAAGGTCTCTTCGACCACGGGTACCTGCCGCCATCACAATTGAGCTCCTGCCGCGCACGGATTGCAGCTGCGCGCCCAGCTCAAAATCCCTACTCCCTCTTCGGAGGAGGCAGGAGGTGTCCAGAAGAATCTGCCACAGACCACATTGTACCCCAACCCAAGGTTGGGGCTGAGAAAACCCAATCCTTTCAGGGACTCCCCCAAACGCCGCCATAACCCTGCCAGACGGAGCAGAAGGATAGAGAGGCACACAGCGGCTTCATAGTGCTGGATCTCCAGTGCTGCCGGCCGCTCCTAGCAAACAAACTACAGCTCGGGATCTGGGACTGTGGTCATTCTACATGTCCTGAGATTATCCTGGGTCCAGCGCAATAAGATCTAGCAACAAGTTCTATCACTGGCGCCCCCCTCCTGACCCCTGGCAGAGAAACACCGGCTCAGGGCTCAGGATCTGACTGAGAAGCCCCAACCCCTGCTGGCACTCCCCTGAGAGCACCTCCATAAGCTTGCCCTAGCAGAGGAGAAGGTCAGAGGGGAAAGACAGAGAGGCAGCCTGACAAGGACACAGCACCCTCTCTCCAGCTCACCCAGCGGCCCCTAGCAGAGAAACCCAAGCTCTGGATCTGAGGACACTCAACCCTACCCAGTACTCACTTGGGATCAGCAAACATAGATTCTACCGCTAGGCTGCTCTGGCAGAGAGATCTGGGCCCGGGATCTGGGATTGAGTACACTCATCCTAACTCTTTCCCGCGTCACCCAAGGACCAGTCAACATAACCCCTCTCCTGGCAGAGGTAAAGGACAAAGAGGCAGCACACAGGAAAGGTGGACACCGAGTCCTGCGGCCACAGTGTCACAGAGCTGATTGTTAGCCTACCCGTGCACTTCCGCAGCAGGACCAAAACAGAGAGTAGTGAGCAAGGGGAACCCCTGTGCATTCCAACTGGTCCTGCAAGAGAGTGAGTGAGCCTTCTAGGGAGAGATTGCCCCAGACCCAGGGCCTCTCCACAGAAGCAACCAGACGAGATCCCTGCCACCTACACCCCTAGTGTGGGCATCATAAAGAATTCTTGGGATAGCGACTCCAACATTGAAGCCTCTGCCTTGCGGGTCCATCAGGGTAATCCAGGCAAACAATCCCTGGATCTCAGTCAGAACTGCATAATAGTGGCTTGCAGGCCACTGCAATAGTCAGAGAATCCACGCATGCACACTGAACCCGCTAAATGCGCACGCCAATAGTGCCAGCGTCACATTCCTTACTTAGGCAAAACTGAAAACACAGTGCACACTTCCAAAGCAGTGAACCTCTCTCATCTTCCTGAAAAAACAGTCCAGAAAACAGAAAGAGAGGATCATAGCCCAAACTACAATCTCGAGGAACAACCAGTGAGGATTATAAATAACCAGATGGCTAGAGGCAGACGAAAGAACACTCCCAACAAAAATCAGGACATAATGACCTCACCAGCAACCCCACAAAACAATGGACACTTCAATTCACTAGATATACAAGAAAACGACCTCAAAACTATGTTTCTCCAGCTATTAGAGGCCCATAAAGATGACATGAACAAAGCCCTCAGAGAAATAACCAAAGAAATCGAGACTAACCAAGAGGAAACAAATAGTGCTCTCAGAGAAATGACCACGAAAATTGTGGCAAACAGAGAAGAAATGCACAAAGCTCTCAAAGAAATGTCCACACAAATGAAGGCAAATAAAGAA